TTTTTTAAGAACAAATATAGAATGCAAGAAAATGTAAATTATAAAAAGAAAAGAGAAAATAGAGATAAATTTTTTTGAAAAAAAAATGAAATAAAAAAAAATTGAAAATAAGAAAATGCATGCATGAGTATGAGTGAACCTAATATACAAGTCTACCCCTCCCCAAGCTTAAAGATAAGCATCGTCCCCGATGCCTGGAGAGGGTGGAACAACCTAAAACGGAGGTGGAGGAGGAGGATAGTAGCTGGGGTTTCGGGTCCAAGCCCAGAAGTCCTCCTCATGTTTGCGTTGACGCTCTTGATCCCGAGCATACTGGGTGGTGAATGTGGAAAAATTATGGGTCAGGCTGGTAATATCCTGCTGGTAGGTGTTGAGGCGGGTATGGATTGATTGGAATTCGTCCATTACTGTTGATGATAAGGCGGGGGTCCAGCAAAATGGGATGAGCTACCACCACCGGTGGGAGAAGCATGGTGAGGCTCCTCCTCTTCTTCATCATCATCACCATCTTCCTCGTTTTCTTCACTTTGCTTATCTACCTCGGTGGAGTATGAGTGGGGGAAGATGTACGGAATGATTTGCCAATCGATCATGTGAATGGGATTTCAGAAATCAAGAATGCCTTTATTTTCTGGTGTGATGAGGAGCTTTGGATCATGATTTTGACCCATGGTCCAATGGTGTGTGCCATCGCCTGCCGAACGGAAGAGATGCATGGACTCAAGGATAGTAGTGGTGAGATAAGGCTCACCCGGCAGTGGCTGATGGGGACCGGGGTATGGGGCTCGGATGTGTGCGCTCTTGGCGAGCATGCTGACAATACCCCCGCAAACAATCTTTCCCGATCGGTATGTGCTAAGGCGGATGAGCTTGTGGCACAGAAACCAACCATAATGAGGAATGAGGTTATTCTCGAGATGGGTCATTGCATAGAGGATTTTGAGTTCCAACAAGTTGATGGTGCTTCGCTCCTCTCTAGGGGCGACAAGCGAAGCAATGATTATATGGACTACCTTAATCACAGGATGGATAAGTGATGAGGCTTTAGCAGCGCTAGAGACATATGGGTGTAATTGGGTGAGCTGGGTCCACCAAGTCATGTCAAAGTATCCGCGAATTGGGTCAGTGGGACCAAATGTGTTTTCCGTTGGGGCCCCCACAATGGCATTGATTTGATCCAAAGAGATCTCATAGTCTTGATTCATTAGACAGAAGTAGAGGATCTCATGGTCTAAATAAATTGAGGATAGAAACTCAGCTATTGGGACTTTATAGCTCAATTCATGGACCCTCAACAAGCCGTGCCACCCTATGTTGCGAAACAGGGTTTTGACTTGATTGTAAACATGCAACTCTTTTAGGGATGGAACATGCGTGAATTTTTGGATGGCATGACCCCGTTTAAGGAATGACTCAAGTTTGTCCTGTTGAACTGGGCCAAGACATACGACACCACAATGAGACGGGTCGGCTGGGGGTGTTGGGGACCTAGATGGAGGTGATGGAGATATGGATGGAGGTGACGGAGTCCTAGGCTTCTGACGGCGGGCGGATGATTTGGTTTGTCTTGGTCTTTTGGAAGATGTAGCTTCCATAGTCAAGTTTGGGACAAATTAAAAGTCAATAGGTCAAAATGTCAAAAGTCAACTATTGACGGGTCCAGTCAACTTCGAATTTGGCCACCAAAATTTCGCGGGAAATTTGGTTTTCAAAGATTTCCTACTAAGAATCAAGTCCAAATAGACCACAATCTCAAGTAATTTGACTCAAGAACACAAAATCTAAATGTTAAGAGTTGGGAAGAATTTATCGAATCGTGTGTGGGATTGTGTTGTTCTTGATGAAAAAGATCTTCCTTAACCTCCCCAAGCTTGCCCTTTTTAAGATTAAGACACTAAAACACAAAAATCACATGAGATTTTTGGATCTAGGGTTTGTCAAAAACCCCCAAATCCACCATGCAAGAAAATGGTGTTTAAGATGAGAAGATGAAGTGTAGATGATGAAAATCAAACCTTTTTGTAGATGAAAGCCAAAATCTTGAAGAAATTGAAAGGTTTTTGTGAAAATTGGACCTAAGGTTTTTGTTGGGAGAGAGGGGCTGTTAGGAAGTGAAAGTGCGGATAAATGAGGTCAAGCCCCGATTTTTTTCTTTAAAAAGGTCCAGAACTGCTGCGCGAACATGACCCGTGTCGCCCCAGGCCAAATTGACACGCCCCATGTTGGGGGGTTTATGCTGAGTTATGGACGAACACGACCCGTGTTGGGTCAAGGCCAAAACAAACACGACCCGTGTTGCTCTCTGGAAGAATTTGGGACTTTTTTGCACGAAAACGACCCGTGTTTCATTAAGGCTAAGAGGGACACGACCCGTGTTGGTCCCTGGATGCTAATCCCCACTTTTTGAACTTGAAAATTTTCCTCTCTTCGAAATGAAATACTTTTGCATTCCTAGGTCCGTTTGGTGATTTTAAATCATGATTGAATGCATTTGGAACATTGAAAACCAAAAACTCAAAGGAATGGAAATTGTTTTTAAATAAAAGATAGAAATACCCCCGGGTTGCCTCCCGGTTAGCTGCCCTTGTTTCAAGTCGGTGGCTCAACTTTGCCCCTGCATATGCTTCGTCCTAAGTATTTGGGCCGCTCCAACACATCAATCTTCTTGCCACCTCCTTCAACGGGACCTTCAACCTTCCTTTGGCTTTCTTTTTGCGCATAAACCAAAAAGGACTTAACCCTTTAATATCAGAGATTGTCCACTCAATCCTTTTTTTGGTATTTGTTCAGCATGGTTATCAACTCACTCTCTTCCTTCTTCGATAATTTATTTGAGTTGATGACCGGTTGAGTGCTCCCCTTCTCGACATGTATTTGCTTTTTGGATCCCGGTGGAGTTTGTGCTTGTTCCACCGGTGGAAGGAATTTGGCTTTGGTGGTAGGTGGCTCTACTTCTCTTCCATCAATCCACATGTGCTTATCATCCTTAAATTTCAAAATCTCCAGCACCTCCTCGTTTGTACCGCACTCCTTTGCAAGTTCTTCGGCTTTGTACCTGTCTAATTTTTGTGACAAGACTAACTCCATAAAATCATTGTTAGTCGAGTTTAAGCTCTTTTCAGCCAATGGCTGGATCATATTCACAAAATTAACAGATTGAACATCAGAATGAACCTTTTTTTCTTCATGAACATTAAAGTTGATAACTTCACCGTCAAATTCCATACTTAAAGTTCCGTTGTAGACATCAATTTTTGTTTTAGAAGTTTTAAGAAAAGGTCTACCCAAAATTATGGAACTTGAACTTGGAGAGTCATCATCTCCCATATCTAAGACGTAAAAATCAGTTGGGAAGATAAATTTATCGACTTGCACTAACACATCCTCTAGTACACCTTTTGGGTGTACCAAAGACCGGTCGGCAAGTTGGATGATCACACCGGTTTTGCTCAATGTTTCTACACCAATTGATTTGAAAAGAGAATATGGTAGGACATTTACGGATGCACCTAGATCGAGCATGGCTCGAGGTACATGAAGATTCCCCAATTTGCAAGGTACGGTAAAGACACCGGGATCCTTACACTTCGGGGGCATCCTCTTTTGCAAAACTGCGGATACATGCTCCCCAACTGTTACCACTTGATTTCCTTTTAATTTCTTTTTAGATACGCAAATATCCTTAAGGAACTTTGCATATCTAGGTACCTGCTTGATGGCCTCGAGGAGTGGAATGTTGATTTGAACTCTCTTGAACATTTGCATGATCTCACTCTCCTCCCGTTCTTTCTTCGTGCTCTTTAATCTTTCGAGAAATGGAGCAGGTGCGGCTTTAGACTCAGTGATGAAGGGCTTCTTTTTGACTTTTTTCTCTTCCTTCTTCTCTTCTTTGGTTGCCTCTTTGACCACTATTTCTTCTTCCTTTTGATCAACTGACACTTTTGGACCATCATAGCTCTTTCTGCCTTTCAATGTGATGGCACACGCATTATGTTTTAGGTTCTTCTACGTTTGAGAGGGTAGCTTGCCTTGCGAATCCATCTTACTCAAGGATTGAGCAAGTTGTGATACTTGTTGCTCTAAGCTTTTTATGCTTTCCTTGGTTTCTTGTTGAAAGCTTTGAGTGCTTGTGGCAAGGCTTTTCACTGTGTCCTCTAAGGACATACTTGAAGAAGTCGCTTATGGAGGGGGTTGTTGTGGGTGCCTTGTTTGGTAATTTTGAGGTTGGAAGGGTGTTCGTTGTTGATTTTGAGGGAATGGTGGTCTTGGTTGATATTGATGCGATTGATTTTGCTGATAATTCCCTTGTTGATTGCCTCCCCACCACTGATTATTGTTCCATCGCAGATCACCTCTTGGTTGCTCGTAACCTCTATGATTTTCCCCATAATAGCCTCTCATGACTTTTGCTTCTTCATAATCTTCCTCTTGGAGTTGTGGGCACATATCAGTTGGATGGCCCACTTGGGTGCAAATACCGCATGGGCGGGGTTTGGGTTGTACACCTTTGTCTTTGGCCAACATCATGACTACTTTCGTGAGCTCGGACAATTGAGCTTCAATATGAGGAGTTTGAACTTATTTTACACCCTAGGGTGCATCCGTGTACCATTCTTCAGCATGGCTTGAATGTTTGGAATTTTCAGCCATGTTCTTGATTAGATTGCGGATTTCAGTAGGAGTTTTGTCGGGTAAAGATCCGCCACTGGAGGCATTAAGAAGCCTTATTTCCATTGGAGTCATTCCGTCAATGAAATATTGGAGGAGCTGGTATTCGGTAATTCCATGCTTTGGACATCGAGCACAAAGTGTCTTGAATCGATCCCAATATGTGTGAAAAGCTTCTCTCTTGTGCTGCTTGATTCCAATGATTTCCCTCTGTAGGGCGGAAGCTTTCATCTCAGGAAAATACTTGTCCAACAACAATCTCGCAAGATCTACCCAAGTAGTTACCGTCCCTGGTGGGAGGTCATAAAGCCAATCTTTGGCCGCGTCTTGCACCGCAAAGGGGAATCCCCTAAGCTTGATTTGGTCCTTCGTGACATTGTGTGGTTTCATACCCACACATACTACATGGAACTCGGTGAGGAACTTGTGAGGATCTTCATTCTCCAAACCTCTAAAAGTTGGGAGTAAGTGGATAAGCCCGAATTTTAGTTCCAAATTGATGGCAGCTGGGTATGTGATACAAAGAGGTTGTTGAGTCACCTCTTGTCTTGACCATTGACGGAGAGTTTGTTCGGGTGGTGGATTTGGAGGTGGATTCCCTCCATGGTTGTCTCCCATGGTATGAGTAGTGGTTGAAGTTTCTGTGGGTGTAGTGCTTGGGCTGTAATGAGTAGGTGAAGAGGGTGGGGGTGGTATTTCTGGATGAGTATGGTTGAGGTGAAGGTGATGGACTTTATGTTTCGGATGCGGACACACTTAAGAGGGGAATATCCTCCCAAATGTTAATGACCGGGGGATTGGATGATGAAGAAGTACCGGAAACCGGTTGCCTCTTACGAAGCGTGGCTTGCTTCCTTAACTTCTTTGCAGTCTTCTCTATCTACGAGTCAATTGGCAGTGGTACCTGTACGAAAAGATCTAGGCATAAACAATTAGTAACACCGTGTCCCCGGCAACGGCGCCAATTTGTTAGGCGTGTCAAACCCAACAAATAAAGGGGTACGATATACTCCAAAATAACACTACTATATTGCACTAAAAGGTAGTACAAGGCAAGTAGGGTTGATCCACAGAGACACGGGACAATTGGTCTATACCTATTTGCACAAGGTACTATGGTCACCAATAGTAAAGAGAGGGGGGGTTTAGAATGTAATGATTAAACAAACAATTAAAAACATAAGCAATCAACTAAATGCGTGAATTAAATTCAGAATTTGTAAGGACTCCAACCCCATGTATGACAATTTAGCAATGTGACTCAAAGATGACACAATATTCGTTCAATTCTATCTAAGTTGGTACTTGAAAGTGCTAATAAGCTCTAACACTTCCCATTCACCATATTAATTAACCAAAACAAGCTCTTTGATTAACCCTAACCTTATTAACCTAATCTAAACAAGTTCTTAGAATTAGATTATAAGATTGCATGAAGCTTTATGTGAATGTTCCCAACAACACCCAATACTCCTCATAAGCTCGGGAGTGTAAAAGTGTATGAATAAGATTTACACTAAATTCATTCAATAAAGATCAATTTAATGCTTGTTACTTGTTCAATTTCACAAAACAATTACGGATTTTGTAAAAGAGATAACTTGAATGACCTAACCCTAATTCAAATGGCCAATAAGAATCATAATTAGAATCAAACATTTGATTGAAGCAAAATCAAATTCATTAGATAGAAATTAAGAACAAACATCATGTCATATGATTGAAGTCACTACCAAGAAGTCAAAACATGAAATTAGAGAAATTAGGGTTCTAGCCACACATGGTTAGAACAAGATCACAAGTCTAAAAGATGAAATTAAGTGTAATTACAACTTACAAAAACAAGAATTAATGTTTCCAAATGATTAAAGGACAAACCCTTGCAAAAACCTTCGAATTCTCCTCTCCAATGGTGCTCTGATATGTT